AGTTCTAGTCAATACCAGCCAAGTGACCTGGAGCAGGACATTTTACCTCTTTGTTCTTAGTGTCCTTATCTGGCACTGGGAGATATATTCTCAGTGCATGTAGGAGAAAAAGTGCTAGCAAAATTGCTGCTGGCCAAAATCTTGACTTTCTCTGCGCACTGACGCCGAATAAAAACTACAGAGACAGAGTTCAGAGGAAATAGAAAGGTGGCTTTAATTTTCAGCAAGCAGAGAGGGGAACACAGTAGGTTCACACCTCAAAAACTGTGCCCCCCGCCCCCATGAGAGGTCTAGGGGCTTATGTAAGATGAGGAACAAAGTGTTAGGATCTTGATTTCTTCGTTTTGCACTGTTTCAAAGATAGTCATAGGCTGGCATCAGTAACCCAGTAATTGAGTCTAGCAGTTCGGTGGCCCTGAGGCCTTCTTTCTGATATGTAACTACAAGGGGAAGCGTGATGTAAGGGTAAACTCCAGATCCAGGATGTATTCAGTGTACAGTCAAAAGAAAATAGGTGTGAATTATAGCTCCTGCAGGGTTAGGGGGCAGAAAAGCAAACTTAGCTACAGACATGCAGAGTTAGGAGCAGTGCTGGTGGCTCAGTGATAAAGAGTCTGCCTGCAACTCAGGAGACACAAAAGACACGAGTTTGATTCCTGGGTCAGGAAGATCCCCTGCAGAAGGAAAGGGCTAGCCACTCCAGTATTCTTGCCTGGGAAATCGCATGGACAGAGAAGTCTGGCGGGCTGTAGTCCACATCACAAAGAGTCAGACATGACTGAACCACTGAGCAAAGCAAAAAGAACTAGGAGTGTTCAGGCCTGCTCACTGTTCTCTTTATCTTCTTCTCAGGAAAGGGAAAGAAAAAAATTCATTCCTCTTTTTTCCCTTTTCACCGCAATAATAATAATAAGATTCCTGAAAATGAAAGGTAAGGAGGGAAAAAACTAGATACCAAATAATCTCCACCCCAAGATCTTAGTAATGTCATCAGTATTCTTTGCAGTCTGAAAAGCTTTCAGGTTTCCAAGAATTTCTAGCTTTAAAGGGGTAAGGAAGTGAATGGGGAAGGAAAAGGGCCATATTTCCTAAGGCTCCTCTCAGAACTTTGTGCATTATATGTGGACTCACTTAGTATTTAGGACCTCATGGCACTCTCCCATGCTGCTGGTGGAAATGTAGATGTTAAAACTTCAGGAGTTTTGACAATACTTACTCAAATAAAAAGTGTATATGTGCACAAAGAAATCTGTATGGGAATGTTCACAGCAGTATTGTCCTAAAAGCAAATTCATGGACATGAAACGTCCACCAAAGTGATCAGTTGAATAAACTATTATATAATGCATCTATATTAAAGACTATATCCATTAAAAGAATGATACATGCATATACTTATGATTTCTTATATGTGTTTACAATAGAAAGCAAGTTATGTAAGGAATGCTACCATTTTGGGGGGTTGGGAGAGGGTAGGTTAATTTACACTTAAACTACTGTATGGATCACAACAAACTGTTGAAAATTCTTAAAGAGATGGCAATACCAGACTACCTTGCCTGCCTCCTGAGAAATCTGTATGCAGCTCAAGAAGCAACAGTTAGAAGCAGACATGGAATAACGGACTGGCTCAAAATTGGGAAAGGAGTACATCAAGGCTGTATATTGTCACCCTGAGTATTTAACTGATATGCAGAGTACATCATGTGAAATGCCAGGCAGGATGAATCACAAGCTGGAATCAAGATTGCTGGGAGAAATATCAATACCTCAGATACATAGATAATACCATCCAAACGGCAGAAAGCGAAGAGGAACTAAAGAGCCTCTTGATGAGGGTGAAAGTGGAGAGTGAAAAAGCTGGCTTAAAACTGAACATTCAAAAAACTAAAATCATAGCAGCCAGTCTCATTACTTCATGGCAAATACAAGGGGATAAAGTGGAAACAGTGACAGATTTTATTTTCTTGGGCTCCAAAATCACTGTGGATGGTGACTGCCATGAAATTAAAAGATGTTTGCTCCTTGGAAGAAAAGCTATGACAAACCTAGACAGCACATTAAAAAGCAGAGACAGCACTTTGCTGACAAAGATCTGTATAGTCAAAGCTATGATTTTTTATTTTCTTGGGCTCCAAAATCACTGTGGGTGGTGACTGTCATGAAATTAAAAGATGTTTGCTCCTTGGAAGAAAAGCTATGACAAACCTAGACAGCACATTAAAAAGCAGAGACAGCACTTTGCTGACAAAGATCTGTATAGTCAAAGCTATGATTTTTCCAATAGCCATGTATGGATGTGACAGCTGGACCATAAAGAAGACTGAATGGTGAAGAATTGATGCTTTCGAACTGTGGTGCTGGATAAGATTCTTGAGAGTCCCTTGGACAGCAAGGAGATCAAACCAGTCAATCCTAAAGGAAATCAACCTTGAATAATCTTTGGGAGGACTGACTAATGCTGAAGCTGAAGCTCTAATACTTTGGCCAGCTGATGCAAAGAACTGACTCACTGGAAAAGACCCTGATGCTGGGAAAGACTGAAGGCAGAAGAAGAAGGGGTGACAGAGGATGAGATGGTTGGATGGTATCACTGACTTGATGGACATGAGTTTGAGAAAGCTCCGGGAGTTGGTGATGGACAGGGAAGACTGGCGTGCTGTGATCCATGGGGTCACAAAGAATCAGACGTGACTGAGCGACCAAACAACAACTGTAACAGAGCAGGATGAGCACAGCCCTTAGCAGGCAGCCACTGTTGTGCCGCATTACTCTGCATCCTGTAACTAGGCAACAGGTCTCGTTCAGCCATTGGTCAGTGCCTCAGTGGGCCCCCCTCCCCAACAAGAAACCAACTGTCAATGAGCGACCATTAGGGAAGTGATTCAGCCAAGGGTCAGTGGTCATCAGGTGGAGAGTGAGGTAAGATGCAGATTCAGGCCTTCTCCTGGAGGGTCCAGGGAACAGACTGGGGACTAAGTCCTGCAGGGCTCTGGAGCCCTGACTAAGGCCCTCCACTAGCCTTGGCCCAGGTCTTGAGACAGCGGTGAATCTCTCCCCCATCCCTGTCTCTGTGACCTAATAGCAGTGACTGCCCGGGTCGCAGTCTGTGAGACCTGGTCTCTTCCACTTGGGTGGTCTGAGGAGACTGAGGGCCAGTTTGATTCGGTGCCTGGCTCCCTCAGAGTTGACAGCTGGGCAAAGTGTGGAAACCTGGCCCTGCAGGAGCTGCCAACTGAGATCTGCCTCCTCTTGGCCAGGACTGAGAGCTTGGAGAGCGAAAGTTGTGCCTTGGGACCTTGTTGCTTCTTGTCAAGACGGAGAATAACATCGTTTGGTAGGAGACTATAGGAACATCATTACCTGATCATGACCTGACTTCAAGAGCAAAGGCTCTGGCACCAAGAAGCTTCCAACAACTTACCACGCCCCTCTCCCACCTTTTGCTTTTAAAGGGGCTTGCTGAAAGCTTTTAGTAACTTTGGGGTTCTTGGGGGCATGAGCCACCCAACTCCTTGTATGAACCTATAATAAACCTTTCTCTGTTCCAAACTCTTAATGTTTTAGTATTGATTGGCCTCACTCAGCCATTGCATACATGGACTTGTGATTTGGTACCAAAACCACCTTTGGAAGGCCACACAAGAAATTTTACAGTATTATTTTGTAAGGGGAATTTGGGTACATCAGAGAGAAGTATTCTCACTTTCCCACTTTATTCCCTTTCACTTTTTCTACGTTTATTATCAAATGCATGTGTTACCTTTTTAAAAAGTCTTGTTTTTATGCAAATTTTCAGCCAACTTTTCATCATTGAAACACAGACCCCCGCTCACTGGCCCTTCTCAAGCGACTTGTCTGGTGCTAGCAGCTCACCACCCCTTTCAGTTCTGTTCAGTTCAGTCACTCAGTCGTGTCTGACTCTTTGCGATCCCATGAACGGCAGCATGCCAGGCCGCCCTGTCCATCACCAACAACCGGAGTCCACCCAAACCCATGTCCTTTAAGTCGATGATGCCAATCCAACCATCTCATCCTCTGTGTTCCCCTTCTCCTGCCCTCAATCTTTCCCAGCATCAGGGTCTTTTCCAATGAGTCAGTTCTTACCATCAGGTGGCCACCCCCCTTTCTTCAGAAAATGCTGGACATGTGGTTTGAGGTATGGGTGTGAGGTGTGGGGACCAGTCCAAGGGGCATGAAAAGGCATTTACTCTTCACTCTGTGTATTTTATATATTTTTGCATATATAATAATGCGCATATAGAACAGCCTTCTAAACACAAGGAATTTGTCTGAAAATCATCCCCAACCGCCTTCGGCAACTCTCACCCTTGCTTCAGCCTCCTCTCCCTTTCTCCTCTCCGCCTCCCCAAAGAAGTGAAAGCGAGAGTCGCTCAGTAGTGTCCCATGGACTATACGGTCCATGGAATTCTCCGGGCCAGAATACTGGAGTGGGTAGCCGGTTCCTCCTCCAGGAGACCTTCCCAACGCAGGAATCGAACCGAGGTCTCCTGCATTAGCAGGACGATTCTTCACCAATTGAGCCACCAGGGAAACCCCAAACCTCTAGCCTATTTCCCCAGGGAAGTTCACCAGCTCCTCCTTCTGCAGTAGGAAGTAGAGAGCCTTCGGCTCTAAGTGAGTGGGCTGAAAGGTGGGAGTAATCCCAGAAAAGAAGGACGGCGAACTGATGTTTAGCAGAAATGCGTTATTTAAGGGGTACAAATATATCTACCAAACAGGAGGTAAGGAGAAAATAAGGACCCTAAAGACCTCCTAACCGTTAATAGTGAAGGAAATTCCAAGAGGAACCTTGACAACTGGAAAAGGTAAAGGCGGGAGCGCATTGCATGCTGGGACTTGTAGTCTCTTCCGGTTGTGGTCCACAGTGCGGGTGCGCGGAAGCGCGGGTGGTCTCTCCCGCGCATGCGTGCGGCGGCGGCGGCAGGGCTGATTGCAGCTGAGAAGAATATCACCGAGCCGGCGTCCGGGAGTTCGGCATGGCGATTCCCCCGGCGTCCATGGGACCCTCAGCGCTGGGCCAGAGCGGTCCCGGCTCGATGGCTCCCTGGTGCTCAGTGTCAAGCGGCCCGACTCGCTACGTGCTCGGGATGCAGGAGCTCTTCCGCGGCCACAGTAAGACGCGCGAGTTCCCGGCGCACAGCGCCAAGGTGCACTCCGTGGCCTGGAGCTGCGACGGGCGTCGCCTGGCCTCAGGGTCCTTCGACAAGACGGCCAGCGTCTTCTTGCTGGAGAAGGACCGGTTGGTGAGCCGCTGGGACCCGGCCCAGGCTAGGGAGAGAGGGGGTGTGGTAAGGCGAGGTTGAAGAATGGGCGTGAGGAGAGTGGAGCTGAGGAGAAGGGAGGAGGAAGAAGGGGTGTGGAGGTGAGGGGCGTGTGTGATGCGCGAAAGAGGAGTGTGGGGGGTGAGGAGCGGGGAACGGACTGAGGAGAGGTGAGGATGGGCGTGGTGGAGGGGAGGACTGGTGAGGATGGGCGTGGTGGAGGGGAGGACTGGTGGTTGGGGGAGGGGTGACGATGTGTAGGGAGTGTGATAGTTAGGTGGCGTGAAGATGAGCGGGGGCGGGGTGGGGGGCGAAGGTGAGTGTGGAGAGTAAAGGCCGGTGGTGAGGATGGCGGGGAGACTTGTGTGGTGGTGAGGAGCGGCTGGGACAGTGGTGGTGGGCTCCTGTGGTGATGAGGAGGGTCATTCTGAAAATGGCAGGACCTCCGTGGAATTGAGTAAGCGGGTTGGGACCCTTGGTGGAAGAGTAAGGGTAGAAAACCAGAAAGGAGGGAGGGCTAAAGAGTAAGGGCATTGGTGTGGACCCCATCCAAAGAACTGTTCACACTGATTGGGGAGGAAGGGAGGGTAGGGTATTGGGAAGGGTTTAAGGGAAGTGACTTAGAAGGACTGGATTCTTCACTCATCCAAACTTCTGTTGGTCGCCAGATACCTCATTTTGAATAAGGTTAAGAAGTTACATGGGTAGGCAGGTACATATGGGTGAAATGGTATCTGGATTTTGCTCTTTCAGGTCAAAGAAAACAATTATCGGGGACATGGGGATAGTGTGGACCAGCTCTGTTGGCATCCAAGTAACCCTGATCTCTTTGTTACTGCGTCTGGAGACAAAACCATTCGCATCTGGGATGTGAGGACTACGAAATGCATTGCCACTGTGAACACTAAAGGTAACTGTTCAGAGGGCAGTAGGAAGATAAGCCACTGCTAGTCATTTTAAGTATCTTCTCTGTGCCTGGCCCTGTAGGTATGGGACGTCCTGAGCTGAATAAGACAGTCGCCAGTTCCAAGGGCCTAAGAGTTTAGTGCAGGGAGAGACATGTGTATTGAAAAAACTAACATAATATAACATGGTCATCCTGTAATGGATAGGTCTACAAGGTGGATGCTGAGAATGGAAACACTTAAGTATGCCTGGGGAAGATAGGGAAGGCTTCACAGAATTTGAGCAAAGTCTTTAAGGTAGCCATATATATTTAGTGGTCACCTTGTAGTGGGTAGGCAGCTCTAGCAGGGAACTGCTGATAGGCTAGAATGACTGATCTTGGAATAAATGACTTTGACACTTGGGGAGAAAATGACCTGGAAGTTGTATAGTACATTTATAGACTGTTCTTCACCAGATATTGCCTTATAAACCTTGAGGCCATTTATTAAATTATATTGGCTAAGATGTTATTGATTATAAAAGATGCATCAATATTTTATGTTTCATTAGGAAAGAAAGTTTTATTAGATAATCATGATACACCAAAAATTTTGAAATACATCCTGATGCATTCTAAGATACATTACAGGTAATAAAGTGTGAAAAAATATGCATCTTAGAATCAATAAAGTTGATGAAATTTGTGGGCTACTGGACTTTGTTGGCAAGACTTGTACCTGGAGGTGGAATGATATGTTTTCCCCAACTAGACAACTGGTGATATGTGAGTGATTTAAATATGCAGATGAACATGAAAAGCTGATTGTATATATATTTTAATGCTTACTAGAAAAAAAGAACTAGCTTATAGAATTTATTGCTGAAGTGAAGCTATTTAAATAAAAATTTGGAGGGGTCAGTTTTAATAAAAGTCTTGAAGGAAGAAGTATAGCTATTACATGGATAGTTCAAAAATTGTGAAAATGGCATGTGAATGACTGGAGTTTGGGAAGTGCAGGCATAAGAGAGAATTAGAGGCTCTGATGACAAGTATGCCTTTAGATCTTGGCTCTGTTACTTCATAGCTTGGATACATTGGCCCATCTCTCTTTCAGTTTTTCATCTGTAAAATGGGGAGGAAAAATGTCCCTTAGAGACATGTGAGCGCTAAAGAGGGAAATGTGTAGATAAGTGTGCTGGACTTCTGGTTGGTCCTACTGATGAGGACTTTAGTGAATGAACTCTAGCGAAAGCTCTAGTCTTTCTTTGATAACAAGATAAACTGCTGGAGGATTGTGGGCTAACAGTATTTTGCTGATCGTATCTGGGTTCCCAGGGGAGAACATTAATATCTGCTGGAGTCCTGACGGGCAGACCATCGCTGTAGGCAACAAGGATGATGTGGTGACGTTCATTGATGCCAAGACACACCGCTCCAAAGCAGAGGAGCAGTTCAAGTTTGAGGTCAATGAAATCTCCTGGAACAATGACAATAACATGTTCTTCCTGACAAATGGCAACGGTTGTATCAACATACTCAGGTGAGAGGCTTCTAAGTTTAGGGGACTGTCATATCTTTGCACTGGGTGCTGTAGTGGATCCTGAGATGAATTAGATGTGAGTCTATCCTGAAGGAGCCAGAAGAACAAACAATTGACTGTTGAACAACATGGATTTAAACTACCCAGGTCCCCTTACATGTGGGTTTTTTCAGTAGTAAATATTATAGTACCACATGATCTGAGATGGTTGAATCTGGGATGTAAAGCCGCAGATACAGAGGAACCGTGGATACAGAGGACCAGTTGTAAGTTATACATGAATTTTTTATTGTGTTTGTTCAACCCCTTTCAGATCGACCCTTGACTTTATTCAAAGATTGACTGTAGTAATAAGGAATTCTAACGTCTCTTGAGCACCTTCGAGCTAGGTACCTTATATTTTACTGAGTCCGGAGAGAAATCCTAGGGAGTTTATGATGGTGTGCTTCCCATTTCATAGATGAGGATCGGAGATCTCAGAGAGGTTAAGTGACTAGTTAGCTAGTGAGCACTTGAACTGGATGTACCTTGAAGTATAGCTAATTCGTACCTTCAAAGTCTCAGTTTAAATATCACTTTCCCTCCAGGGAAGCCCTCTTCATCCCTAAGTTAGAAGCTTATTTTATGTACTTCTGTTGGAAGCATTTCTCATTCTACATTATAAATGCATGTTTATTTCCTTGTGTCTTCTATAAGACTAAATTCTGTGAATTAGGGGCTGTATTTAACTTGTTTACTGTTGAATCTCTAGTGCATAGCCCAGTACCTGGATCTTAGTGAATATTCTCTAGATGAATGAAGTTGTGGAATTGAAGTTGAGGACTATCTGATTCTGTTCTTTCTGCTGTCTTGGGTGGACACTGCAAGGCAGAGTGTGCTAGGCTCTGTATTAGAGAGATTGGGAGTTTGCTGTAGAATCCCAAGGATTGACTGTGGGACTTGGGACTTGAAGGAGGAAGCTTCTAAGCTTGACCTTGAAAGATTAATAGAATGTTAAGAAACAGCAAAAGTAAACTGCACAATGGACAAAACAAGTATGAACGAACATGGCTTATTTGGAAAGTAGTCAGTAGATCAGAATTGCTGGGAGTGGTGGCAGATAAAGTGTCTGAAGAGAGGTCCTGAAACAGGAAGATAAAGTTGAAGTGTAATTTGGTACCAGATTATTTGAGTCTGGAATTCTGTGCTTAGTAACTTGAAGTTTACTCTGTAGGCAGTGTTTGTTTGTTTGTTTTAAGCTTTTGTATTAGAAAATAAAACAGATGTAGAAAACCACAAAATGCAAGTATATAGCTTAATGAACTATTATATGCATAACACCTGTGTAATCCCACCAAGTCAAGAAATATTACTTTGCTGGCCATCTCAGAAGTCTCTCCATGGGCTTTGTCCTAATCAAAACTCCCTCCTCGAAAAGCACTGTTTTGATTTTTATATTATTTTTTTAAAGTTTTGCTACCAAGTGTGAATTTCTGGGTACTCTAATTCTGCTCATTTAAATAAAAGTGTGATATGCCTTTTAAGTCAGTTAAACTATGGAGTCTCCCTCCTTCCCACTGTTTTACTTAGAACTTAAATGTTAAAAAACAGGCTGTTAACCTGGGGAGCTTGTCCCAGTCTGGATTTTGCTGATTCTGACTGCTTGCTTATTTAAGAGTCACTGTCTTATCAGTTTGGTTACCCAGTAATATAGTATATTTAGAGAAGGCATGATAAATGCTTGATAATTTCCCTTTGTCATTAGGTAATGAATTAATTCTCTATCAACTCCAAAGATGATCTGTTACTTTTGTTTTAAAAAGAAGGATCGTTATGGACCCATGTATTTAAGCATAGTAGATGTGTTTCAATCTGTCATAATCATTATCCATATTGAAGCTGAATTTATCTTTGGCACACGGAATCCTCTTCAGGTTGGTTCCTGAGTCATGTTTTTTTTTTTAACATAATCCTCATAGTCTTCAGTTTCTTGCCCTCTGGTATAATGAGATATGCCAAGTTCATCCTGTGTATTTCCTGCCTCAAATCTATAATTAGAAAATTCCCAGGGAATCCCTGGATTCTTTGACTAGAAAATAATATTGGAGCTCAGAATGTCCATATTGTTGAGTTGATTATTTCTAGATCTTTCTAGAAATTTCTAGACAGACCTAGGAAGTATATGTATATACTTAAAGACAAAATAATTTGTAAATTCATACATATAACTTCCAGTTAAGATCTCTTTCCTTCCAAGCTAAGTATTCTGATTCTCAGAGATGCAGGGGATTATAGAATTTGAATTTCCCATGGTTAGCTACTACCTTCATCCCGTTACACACACAGATATCTCAGAATAACAATAGTACTACCATCACCAGTGTGATTACTTAAGATTGTAAATTTTGCTTTTAGAATATGTCTTCCTCCATTAAAAAAAGTTAATACTACATGTTGTCAGATTACACAGTTATTACATTACTTTTAAACATATATAAGTTCTACAAGAAACTGCATGTATTTAATGTTCATCGCCAACCCTAGGCTGGTAAGTCTCCAGTCACTGATTGTCACAGCTTACTCTCCAGTTTCAATTCCTCAGAAAGTGTTCAGGGGGAACAGTGTTCCCTGAGTTCATACTTATCATAACTTATATACTTACAAAACTTAAGAGATACTTATATTGTGCTACTTCTTTGAACACTTTGTAATTGATAGGCAGCTTTGCTAGATATAAACACTTTGATTCATATTTTCTTACTTGTTCTTTACTCCATTTTCTTTTGGCATAAAGTGTTACTGTTAGAAGTCTGCCGATAATCTCATTTTTTGAAAGTCCATTAATTTCAGCTCCTTATTGAAAATTCAGACTTAAATTGAAGATGGTAGGGAAAACCACTAGGCCATTCAGGTATGACGTAAATCAAATCCCTTATGATTATACAGTGGAAGTGACAAATAGATTCAAGGGATTAGATGCAACAGAGTGCCTGAAAATCTGTGGACAGAGGTTTATAACATTGTACAGGAGGCAGTGACCAAAACCATCTCAAAGGAAAAGAAAAGCAAGATGGCAAAATGGTTGTCTGAGGAGGCCTTCAAAATAGCTGAGAAAAGAAGAGAAGTGAAAGGCAAAGGAGAAAGGGAAAGATACCCAACTGAGTGCAAGGAGAGATTAGAAAGCCTTCTTAAGTGACCATGCAAAGAAAAAGAGGAAAATGATAGAATGGGAAAGACTAGAGAATCTCCAAGAAAATTGGAAATACGAAGGAAACAATTTCATGAAAGATGGGCACAATAAAGGACAGAAATGGCAAGGACTAAACAGAAGCAGAAAAGATTAAGAAGAGGTGGCAAGAACACACAGAAGAACTGCACAAAAAAGACCTTAATGACCTGGATAACTGTGATGATGTGGTCACTCACCTAGAGTCAGACACCCTAGATTGTGAAGTCAGGCAGGCCTTTTACAATGAACAAAGCTAGTGTAGGTGATGGAATTCCAGCTGAACTATTTCAAATCCTAAAAGATGATGCTGTTAAAGTGCTGCTCTCAATATGTCAGCAAGTTTGGAAAACTCAGCAGTGGCTACAGGACTGGAAAAGGTCAGTTTTCATTTCAGTCCTAAAGAAGGGCAATACCAAAGAATGTTTAAAACTACCACACAGTTGCACTCATTTCACATGCCAGCAAGGTCATGCTCAAAGTCCTTCAAGCTAGGCTTCAACAGTATGTGAACTGAGAACTTTCTGATGTACGAGCTGAATATAGAAAAGGCAGAAGAACCAGAGATAAAATTGCCGACATCTGTTGAATTATAGGAAAAGCAAGAGAATTCCAGAAAAACATCTGCTTCATTGACTATGCCAAAGCCTTTGACTGTGTGGATCACAACAAACTGTGGAAAATTCTTAAAGAGATGGGAATACCAGACCAACTTACCTGCCTTCATCTAGTCAAAGCTATGGTTTTTCCAGTAGTCAAGTATGGATGTGAGAGGTAGACTATAAAGAAAGCTGAGTGCCAAAGAGTTGATGCTTTTGAACTGTGGTGTTGGAGAAGACTCTTGAGAGTCCCTTGGACTGCAAGGAGATCAAACCAGTCAATCCTAAAGGAAATCAGTCCTGAATATTCATTGGAGGGACTGATGCTGAAGCTGAAACTCCAATACTTTGGCTGCCTGATGCAAAGAATGGACTCATTGGAAAAGACCCTGATGCTGGGAAAGATTGAAGGCAGAAGGAGAAGGGGATGACAGAGGATGAGATGGTTGGATGGCATCACTGACTCAATGGACATGAGTTTGAGCAAGCTCCGGGAGTTGGTGATAGACAGGGAGGCCTGGTGTGCTGCAGTTCATGGGGCCACAAAGAGTTGGACACGACTGAGTGACTGAACTGAACTTACCTGCCTCCTGAGAACCTGTATGCAAGTCAAGAAGCAACAGTTAGAACTGGACATGGAACAAAGGAGTGGCTCAGAATTGGAAAAGGATTATGTTAGGGCTGTATATTGTCACCTTGCTTGTTTTAATTTATATGCTGACTACATCATGTGAAATGCTGGGCTGGATGAATCACAAGCTGGAATCAAGATTGCTGGGAGAAATATCAACAACCTTAGGTTTGCAGATGATACCATCCTAATGGCAGAGAGTGGAGAGGAACCAAAGAGCCTCTTGATGAAGATGAAAGAGAGAAAAAGCTGGTTTAAAACTCAGCATTCAAAAATCAAAGATTATGGTATGCTTCCCATCACTTCATGGCAAATAGATGGAGAAAAATGGAAACAGTGACATATTTTCTTTTCTCGGGCTCTCAGATCACTGTGGATGGTGACTGCAGCCATGAAATCAGAGGACGCTTGCTCCTTGGAAGACAAACTATGACAAACCAAGACAGTGTGTTAAAAAGCAGAGATATCACTTTGCCGACAAAGATCCATATAGTCAAAACTCTGGTTTTTCCAGCAGTCATGTATGGATGGGTGAGTTGGACCATAAAGAAGGCTGAGGACTGAAGAGTTGATTCTTTTGAACTGTGGTGCTGGAGGAGACTCTTCGACAGCAAAGAGATCAAACTAGTCAAAAGGAAATCAACCTTGAATATACTTTGGAAGGACCGATGCTGAAGCTGAAGCTCCGATACTTTGGCCACCTGATGGGAAGAGCTGATTCATTGGAAAAGGCCCTGATGCTGGGAAAGATTGAGGGCAGGAGGAGAAGGGGACAACAGAGGATGAGATGGTTTGGTGGCATTACCAACTCAGTGGACATGAGTTTAAGCAAATTCCAGGAGATAGTGAAGGACAGGGAAGCCTGATGTGCTGCAGTCCATGGGGTCGCAGAGTTGGACACTGCTTAGCTGCTGAACAACAACAAAATGGGTTCATATTCTGGGTTCATATTCTTAAGTATGTAGTGTGTTGTTTCAGTATATTTTTGAAATCTTTTTATTTCAGGAAAGCCTTGATTTACAGTCTTTGATACTTATTCTGTTGTCTTTGGTTTTCTTCTTCAGCGTCTCCTATTTCTATCTTAGTACCAGGGTCATTTCCCCCAGTTTGATTGATGTCTGTTTTGTTTTTCAGCTACCCAGAGCTGAAGCCTGTGCAGTCCATCAACGCCCATCCTTCCAACTGTATCTGTATCAAGTTTGACCCCATGGGGAAGTACTTTGCAACAGGAAGTGCAGATGCTTTGGTCAGCCTTTGGGATGTAGATGAGTTAGTGTGTGTTCGATGCTTTTCCAGGTAAGCAACTCTGCCAGCACTTTGCTTGTTGGATAAGTTAGTTTTATTTCATTTTGAGTGAAGTTGGGCCCTCCTCTTTTTATTATTCTGTCTCCTCTGTCTGGTCTGCTCTGCTATAGGCTGGATTGGCCTGTGAGGACCCTTAGTTTTAGCCATGATGGGAAAATGCTGGCATCAGCCTCAGAAGATCACTTCATTGACATTGCTGAAGTAGAGACAGGTAACTAAACCCTTACTGTCTTAACGAGACTCCTCTGTCATTCATCCTTGGCCATGAGAACTCCTATCATGCGTTTTCATCTCTGTTCCTTACTACTTTGCCAGTATTAGCATAAATGCATTTGCCTCCTTAAGGCAAGTTTGTTTATTATGACTATTGTCAGGTAATGAGGGAGCAAAGATTTAGGAAAGAGAGGGGCAGGTCTGAAAGAAAGTGGTTAAAGAAAATAGTTTGCTTTTTATTCACTTTTAATTTTTCCATTATAATAATTTTTTCCCAAAACTTTTAAAATACAGAAAGGAAGAATGAATGGATGGATGGATGGATGAGTGATCCTACCATTTATATACAGCCTCTTTTAGCAGTATGGTATATTTCTTTTTGTCTTTTGCCTGTATGTTGACTTATATATTTTACAATTTAAGAAATTATCAAAGTGCATGTGATTTGTTTTAAAAAGCAACAAGACAACTTGAAAATAGAAAAATGAGAGGCAAGTATTCATTCTACAAAAGTATTTCTTCAGGTTTATTTTTAATGTAACTTTATTGCTTTTGGAAATACATGATACTTTAGTAAAAGAATTCAAACTATATAGAAAACTTCAAAGAAAATGTGTGTGTGTGTGTGTAGAAACAATATATATAAAAACAGCTTTATCGAAAAATTCACATACCATCTAATTGACGAATTTAAAGTGTATAATTCTGTGTATCCTGCATTTTAAAATCAATACCACACTGTGAACACTTTACTACATTAATCCAGCTAAGAAAAGTGGCTTTGGAAAAACCATGTTTAATTTCAAGAGCAGACAGGATAAAAATTTTGGAAAAAGAATTTTATTCGCAAGGCAAGTGTGGTTGAGTAGAAAGATCTGTGGCTTTGAACAGACTGACTTTCTGTGCTGACTCTGTTCTTTCTCTCCCTTTTTTTTCCTCCTCTTCTGCTTCTTTGAGGTGTGACTTACTGCTCAGTTACCCGTTTCTTTATAAAATGGGGTTTAAAACCGTTACTTGCATGATGGATGAAGTTGTCACACTTTATTAAGATGAGGATAATGCATCTGATTCATAAGACGTGCCCAGCAAAGAGCCGCCACTGCAGTTTTCAGGAAGTGTAGGGCAGGGCTCAGGGCTCGGGCTGCCGGGTTCAGATGCCGCTCCACCACACGGCGGCCTTGTGACCCCGCTGAGCTCTGTGTTCTCTGTAAAACGGGGCAGAGTTGTTCTTACCCCATAGGACTGTTAGGCGGACTAAATGAGCTAACATAGGAAGTACTCACTGAGTGTGGGCCGCTGTCAACATACTGACTGATGCCCCTCTATTGTTTTATAGGAGACAAGCTGTGGGAGGTCCAGTGTGAGTCCCCGACCTTCACCGTGGCTTGGCACCCCAAAAGGCCTCTGCTGGCATTTGCCTGTGATGACAAAGATGGCAAATATGACAGCAGTCGGGAAGCTGGGACTGTGAAGCTGTTTGGGCTTCCCAATGATTCCTGATAGGAGGACCCAGTGTATGGCAGAGGCTTCCATTATATAGTTAGTTTGGTCTGTTCTCTGGGGGCTGGTGGGCACCTGAAATATTTATAAATTGGTATAAATTGTATCCGTATTTTGTTAGGCTGCCCATTCCAATTTCCTTTGTGTTTGGTATGGTTCTCTTTCCCTGCCCCTTGCAGTGATGATACCAGCATACCTTGTCCTTTGGGGACCTCTTGTCTTCCTGCTTTTGGGCGTATGGTAGAATTTGTTGGGCTTGGTTCTGCTTGGACAGTACGTAGTTTGGAGGGGTAGGTGAGGAAGGGTTAGATGGAGTTGCAGATTTTTTATAATAAAAAAGAAGTACATATTAATAATTTTGAGAATTGAACATTTAATGAAACTGACTTTTTAATTATGGGACTTCTAGGACTTTAAAAATTATGGTAATATTTTCAGTATTATTTTCTTATGTCATTATAGGGAGGTGTTGTAGTACTGTATAAAGTTTCAGATAGGATTTAAAGGTTGTAATCCTATCATTTAATGTCATAAGCAAGAACTCGATGGTTTGTAGCATGAAATGCATGGACAGTAGCACTCTGATAACATGTTAAGTCATCGCTTGTTTATGTGTACCTGGCCTCATTCTGCAAAGACTTGTAGACCACAGATTTATGATAAACTTTGAGGAAAAATAGTAAAATATATAATTTTTATGTATTAAAAATATAAGTAAGTAATACAAAATTATGGTATGACCTAGAAATTAGAATAGGAAGTCAAGACTAGGGGGAATCAAAATAGAAACCTGCAGAGAATAAGAACCTAATTGAATGATTGAACTAAAATTTGGCTCTGAACTCCCCTGTGGCAAAGTGAAGAAGGGGCTAAGTCAGCTAATTCTTATTAAAATAAGCACATGCCAGCTCCCTCAGGGAAGGCACAGTTTTTAATAGCTCTTACCACCAGAAGAAATGGTTCATGTAGGGGGTTGTTACCTGTGAGCAGCATCTTGATTTCATTGTGTTTTAATGGATTTCAGATTTAAAAAGAAAAACCAAATCAAATATACCTCAGAAAGTGATGTTTGTGGAAAAATTTGGAAAAAGCCAGTAAGCAAAAAGAAAACCCTTATTTCTAACACCAGGAGATAACCATTTTTCTGCTAATAAGCATTTTTATATATACGCTTCTAGGAGTTTTCTTGTATTCATATTTTTTATATAAAAACATGTTTGTAAAAATTTTGAGGGGTAGACAAATCAAGTATGACCAGATAAAAGCATACAAGGTGCTCAGCACCATGTTTGGCAATATATAAATCACCAAGTCTTAATAGCCATTTTTAATTATTGGACATATCCTGTGTGTCTGGTATTGTAATGATCACTCAATTTTTGCAACAGCCTTCAGAGGTTGGGTGTTATCACCATTTTACTACCTCAGGGAGTTCAACTCAGTGTTACTTATTAAGTGACAGTATTCAGATCTAGGTTTGCTTAAAGGCCCATATACCTTCTGTTGCAGTGGCTGTTCTGGTTCCATTTGCGCTTCCCATTTGACTGCTGAATAAACCTTGGCTCTGAGCTGTTAAGCCTTGGTGCAGGTTAGCAGATGATCAATTGGGCTCCATCTGTAGGCTCAGTAGTATTTCCTGCAGCCTGGGACAGCCTCTGCCTCCACCTTCCCTGGAGAGTGGTTTTTTTAGTTGCAAACCAACGAGCCACCTCATTGTGTAAGAAGTTCAGATTTGCTATGTTGATGACCCATTGCTACACTGACTAGAATTACAAGTCAGATTGAGATTATGGTGTCTCTTGCTGAGATCCTGGATTTTCTGTGGCATGAGGGCCAGGGAAGGATGGAACTTACCAAGTGTTAAGCTTGTGTGAGGTGTGTGTGTGTGCCTTGAGGACTGTTCCCTCCACCCTAATGTGTGGAGGTGGGGGGGTTGTGCAAGGAGCTGTGTCGGGGGGAGCGGTGGGAGCGGGAAGGTTCCTGGCAGAGTGTTGGGAGGCTGGAGCAGGGTTAGATCCAAGGAGCAGGCAGTCAGGAGCAGGCTGTGCTCTCCAGTCAGGAGACTGAAATGTGGAGGACCAGAGGGCGGATCAGAAGAGGCCACTTCTGGGAGTTCCCAGAGCGGGTGGGGGGTGGAAGGGTGTATGTAGCTGGTTGGGGTGTGATGTGTGGGTGAGCTCAGGGTGTGTGTGTGTGTGTGTAGTTGTGATGTGTGGATGAGCTCGGGTGTGTATGCGTGTGTGCGCGCACGTGTATGTAGCTGGTTGGTGTGTGATATGTGGGTGAGCTCAGTTGAGAAAGACCAAGAATGACTTCTAGCTGTTCCCCTTACACACTTAAGCTCTTTACTGTCAGAGGTGTGTTTTCTACTCTCGAAGAGTTCTAGTCACAAAAGGGGCCATGAGATGTCTGCCTTCATTGGAAGGAGAAAAGCACGCGGATGGAATTAAGAGGTAAGCCTGTCTTTGAAGGCGTGGAGGGTGTACCTGTGGACCTGTAGCGCACCCTCAGAAGTCCCGCGTGTAGGTAACGCAGCACCTCCTTTCCTCCCCCGACTGCTGCTCTGCAAACCAGGCGACTTCACACCTGAGCAGAAGGAGGTTTGAATCCCGGCTCCAGCAGGGATTGATCTGAACCACGCCCCTCATCCATGAAGCCGGGGACCATCAGTTCTCTTCTCCTGGGGTTGCTAGGAGAATGAGAGGAGGTAAAGGATTTGTGAAGCGCCTAGCACAGCACCTGGCCCATGGAGATGCTTCACACAGCCCTGCCCTGTGAGGTGGAGCAGCTTCTAACGAGAACACGGGCTACCTGGCCGGCAGAGAGGCCATCAGTCTGTCAGCTTTCTCGGCTCTAAATGCCGGCGCTGCACAAGCCAGCTCATCATTCCAGGAGTAGGTGCTGGGCAGGGAGGAGGCTTATCCATCACAGCCTGGGCCTGGCGGGAGGTCCAGAGGAGAAATGTTAGATCTGCTTTCCTGCGGCATCTCTTGGGGCTCATGATGGATGTGTGTGCCTGTGAACAAGTGGAGTAGAAGTGAGGACTGCATGTGACAGTGAAGGAAGAGCAGGGCAGGGTAAAGCTGTTAGCTGAGGTTTCTGGAAGGGATTGGATGGGGAGGGGGTGGACACTGTGCAAGTCTTCACTATGGAGGGTGTGAATATTGGGCAGAGGATGTGGGAGATGGGGTGCTGTGGGTTGGAGGTGGTGGAAGGTCCTGGGATGTAGGGTGGGTTGGTGGAATGTGAGATGGGCTAGGGCTTCCCTGGTAGCTTAGTGGGTAAAGAATCCACCTGCAATGCAGGAGACCCTCTGGGTCGGGAAGATCCACTGGAGAAGGGATAGGCTACCCACTCCAGTATTCTGGCCTGGAGAATTCTGTGGACTGTATAGTCCATGGGGTCCCAAAGAGTCGGACATGACTGAGCAACTTTCCCTTTCCCTTTAGGGAGAAGAGAGGGAGGGTGGATAACTTCAGTTTGGACTGGCTGGTAGTGTGGCCTGATGAGTAGGGCAGAGTCTGATGGATGTTGGGGGAAGTTCTTGTTCTGTTACTACTAACTGGGAGACTGGTCAGATTGCTTCACCTCCATAGCTGCAGTTTGCTTACATTTGTGTATCTGTAATGGCTGCAGGAGAAGGGTGAGATGACTGGATGGCATCACCGACTTGATGGACATGAGTTTGAGTAAACTCTGGGAGGTGGTGATGGACAGGGAGGCCTGGCGTGCTGTGATTCATGGGGTTGCAAAGAGTCAGACACAACTGAGCGACTGAACTGAACTGAACTGAATGGCTGTACAGTTTCTAAGAGTTAAATGAATTGGCCTGTGTCAAATGCCTGGCACACTAGGTGTTTAGTAAGTAGCTACTCTTGTTATGTAGGTATTCATACCATATCTGTATAAACCCTTGTACCTTACAGAGCCTTCTTGTCTCTTAAGCTCATCACATTTTGTACAATAAAGGGTGGGAGTTGGATGGGCAAGGGTTTGGAGAAAATGAATATTTAACGCACCTTAAAATACCCACTTTTGAACTAAGACCCTTTGTTAACGTTTAGGGAGACTAAACTGAAACGTGCTCAGCCAGTGATTGCAAATTGACTCGAAGTGCACATGTTTGAAATTGTCGCTGACATGGATCCACAAGCTGTTGAACTTCACAAGGCATCCAGCATCTCGTCTCTCATCCCTTAGGAGCAGCAGGCCGAGTGTGAAAGCTTGCTCACCCAACCGGCAGTGTCACAGCAGAGTCACCCGCTGGAGCTCGCCTTGACTGGAGTGGCAGGAACATCCCTGGGGTCCCTGTGCGTTTGCCAGGAACAAGTTGCTAAACTCGCTTGTTTCCCGTTCCCTTCTTAAGAGAGTTACTGGGGTACAGGACAGGCAGTGGTGTGGGTACAGCACAGAATGTGTCAGAACATCTCCTGGAGGACCAAAGGAGATCTGGGTGGGGCACAGGCCGATTTGTCCCTGGTCATCACTGTACCCAGAGTGGGGATTGAAGTCAACTTGGAGGAAAGTTTCTCTCTGAAATGAGATCTCACCATGGAGTTCTGGTGGATGATGACCAGGCCTGTGAAGATTTATTGGACATTTCTGATGCATTGCATCTCCGCAGTGGCGGCTGAGGTGCTGTGATCAACACAGAGCAGCGGGAGGCCCCCTTGTTCTCTGTGTAGAAAGGAATCTTTGTCGGGTTGACCAAACGTCGGAGCTTCCTCTGAGGGCTGAGCCTGGTACAATAGAGAAGGGACTGTCAGACAGCTGTACCTTGGGCCCATTTTTCAGTGAAAACTGAGGTGCAGGGTGGTAAGGGAACTCGCCCGGGGTCACGGGGTTGGCACGCTGGTTTGAAGTTTCTGTTTTCCACTGCGCTATGCCCTGCGTGGTGGCCCACAGTCCCAGCGGTTGAGGGTCAGTGCAGGCTAGGTGTACCTTCACAGCCACACCGTGAAGGCTTGGGAGCCTTCGAAGACTCATCCATCCACATTGGG